TCGTCCTCGCCGCCCGGGGCGGGTCCGCGTGAGTTCCTCGTGTGGGGCCTGAGCGTCAGACCACGGCCTTTGGTTTCTCCCGGCCTTTGCGGAGTCGAGGCGTGTTTGTGGCCCGGGCCACGCGATGTCGGCGGACGCCGAAAGTGGAACGGGCGCGGGGAGCTGGGCGCCAGCGAGCCTCTCCCCGGCTTTCTCCGAACTCTTCCTCGTTTCTAAGCATCGTGCTGGTGCCCTGATCATCGCCTCCCCTTCCCTTTTAAAAGCTGTCCTTTCCTTTCACCTAGTCCCGGTTCTCTCCCTTTCCCAGGACAGGGAACTATTAAGGCCATATCATCTAGGAGTGCCTTTTTCCGAATAATAGGTTCGCCAAACATTTTTGTTATAGGAATCTTTTAAAATGCATCCAGTGCTTTGAAAAGTTCATTGCATAAGAAAAGTTCGTTATATGCATTATTTTTTCAGGCGCATATGTGTTTTGGAAACCAAGACTTAACTGAATCCAGAAAGCAGCTTTAACACTTTTTAATCAATGAGATATTGTCTTCTCGCTCTGTAGCTGGCATTGAAGTGGTTTCCAGTTCTCTCTGAAAAGACTTTCTAAGCTTCTTACAGAACTACTTAAATTCCAAGCTGACCGTTTTTGTTTTTAATAAATGTTCATTGACATAAGCATTGGACAGCTGGTGAGCTGTGTTTTAATTAGATACATTTCCACCCAATGTGTTTACAGCTTGAACTTGGACATAGCATAAACCTGTGGGGGTGAAATAGGAAGACCATCACTGGCTTTTTATGCTCCATACTTGAACAAGAGACAGGAAAATCTCAGGGTTGCTCCGGTTGTGAAGCTCTGGTTTGTAAACACGCTCTGGGGTCTTGCTGCGGTCACTTGGGTGTCAACATGCCATGACTGAAAGTATTTTTTCATGTCCCTCCTGATGTGACTGAGTAAAGCCACAACCTTACAATTATGCCTTGGACCTGAGCTCGCTCTAAGCCTATCTGAAGCACAAGGAAAAACAAGGAAAAACGGCTATTTTTGGCTGCCTGCCTAGTATTTGACTGAGATAAAGATAAGGTATGGCTGCAGGCCTTGACAAATCTCTTTCAAGAAATGTCATAAGGTTTTATTTTGTATTTATTTCTTTTTGTGGTGACAGGGTCTCGCTCTGTTGCCCAGGCTGGTCTCGAACTCCTGAGCTCACGCAGTCCTCCTGCCTCATCCCCCTAAAGTGCTGGGATTACAGGTATGAGCCACCACAGCCAAGAAATGTCACAAGGTCTTTAAAAGTACTGAAGCCTTTTGGCTTGTTCAGAGATTTACGAATCTGGGGCGGTGGGGTCTGAGTGGTGCAACTCAAGCTCAGGCTCCCTTTGGAGAGACCTTGCAAAATAAGAACTGGGAGTTATTCCTCAATTATCTGCAGTACAGTTTGTGTTGATCTGTTTAATGTGAAGGCCTGAGGTCAAATCCATGGCAAGGAAGGTAATAGATGTCACAGCAGCATGTGAGAAATGCTGTTCAAAAAACAGCTCCTGCAAGCCCAGAAAAAGAACGGCTTCCAGCAGGGATGGGGAGGGCTTCTTCTCGCTAGACTTCCAGCCATGGTGGCGTGGAAGCCTTCAGATGGTGACAGGATTTCCGCTAGGGTGAAGGGCGCTGCGAAGGAAGCCGCAAACCGGAACTGGGAGTGTTCCTGCGGCACGTCTGAGTGAGCAGAGGCCGGGCAGGTGGGCCGCGGGGGCTGCGGCAAGCCGGACCTGCGTAGCAGAGGAGGGCCTTGGGCAGGAAAATGGCACGGACCAAACTGGACTGTGAGGAAACCAGGTGGAAAGCAGGCTGAAAGAGGGAGAACTGAACTTCGGAGCTCCTCGGGAAGAAGCCTAGAGGTGTTCCTGGGAGAGGTGAGGGAATCCGCAGCAGGGTGGCGTCCTGCCAGTGTCAAAGAGGACTCCCATGGGGTACACTTTTCTGGAGCAGAAGCCACAGCAATTGTCGATTAAATATTCGGGTTGGGGAAGATGATGAAAACAGAATCGGAGAGGATACACTTTTTATGGAAAACGTAACTAGGCAAAAAAAAAAAAAAATTAAAACGACAGCCCTGGAATTTAGAAATTGTCAACGTTACCGTTTTGGAATATCTCCTGTGTAGGCACAGTGTGAATGCTGTCCATTCGGTACCTTATTTAATCCTTCTTAATTCTCTGTGAGATGATCAGAGTCTCTTTTATACTTAAAAAAGGTGAGATGTTGAGTTTAACTCCCTTAAGGTCTCAGACCCCACCAGGTCTGTCTGGCTCCGAAGCACCATTTAACCATTACCCTCTGCTCTCTGTGTGTACATGCACGGGTGGGCACTCTCCTTCCCCCCAACCCCCCCCCATGGAACACATTAGATTCTGGTTTGCTTTTGGGGGATGCACATTGCACTTATTTTCCCGGTCAGTATGTATGGCAGTGTCTCCAGTGACCATGTGGTGTGCCATTGTATGGCCGTAATAAGTGACATTTTGGAGCTTGCTAACCAGCCACTGGGAAAGTGGAGTTTGTTGCAGCACTTGGGAAGTCAGGAGGAAGGGCTGCTCTAGGAAGGAAGGTAGTTGGCCATGACATCAGCAGAAGAGTATGTTAAACATTTCACAATGTGGAGCTGGAGCAGAGATCTTGGCCTGGAGATACCTGATGGCAGACACGGTGAGAGCAGAGGGAGAGTCAGTCTCAAAGGGAGGAGAGACCTTAAAGACCTTGAGGGTAGAGCCTGGGGAAGCTGGTGTCCTGAGCGGGGAAGGCGAGGGGAGTCTCATGGGCACAGGGTCTGTCCCACGATGGATGACGCCTGCTCTGCTCTGAGAGTGACGGTTTCAACTCCAAGTTTCAGTACCTCCTGCTGTAGTCACGACTGTCTGTGGAATCCTGCACCACTGGGGTCCATTTGGAGAGCTTTGAGGGTCACACCGATGCTTGTTGCTCTATGGACGAATAAGGTCCTTTTTAAATAAGTTGATGATGATTTTTACCTCAGAGAGTGTAAGAGAGTTGATTACTGGGTGTATGTTAGGTGTAGAGTGCTGTGGTGGATGTAATAAGAAATATCTAGCTGTTAAGGAGCCTGGTAAATGTGGGCATCTTTGCCACAATGGGATTGATTGCTTTAGTTCAGAGTAGTTTCTTGTTTTTCATGACCAACGGCTTCATTTTGGTAGTAGAAACTCAGTCTGAACTAGCTTTTGCAAAGGGAGAGTCTTATATGGCTGGATGTGACACTAGAACCAGGACAGATGGGGAACCCTGGACGTTCACTGAGGTCTTCTCCTCCTCTCCCCGACTGTTTTGCTTTTTTCCCTCCATTTTGGAGCCTGGCCGCTAACAGCTTCCACACTCAGTTTTGGCCACACTGCTTAGCTGCAGTTCGTAAATACTGTGGGAGGACGCCATGTGGCCCAGCTTGGGCAGCCTGGCCAGCCTGGGCCGGCTAATTGTGATGAGGACAGGACTGTATTTTATAAAGATGGTGTAACCATGTGAATGCATAGGGACTGGGTATTTCCCAAAGAAGAGACAGATTGCAGACATGGAGCAGAGGGCTGCTGGGCAGCCAAAATGCTAGATGCCTACCATACATTTCTTTCCATATGAATATAATAGTTTGCCCTCAAGGGTCCCACAGTTGGAAAGATTTTTATCTGCTAAGTTGATTGCTAGCTTTGCTAACTAGATCTCGGTTGACTTTTCAAATATTTGCACATGGTTAAAGGATGCCCTTGACTCCGGTGTCAGCTGAGACTCCTGGCATATAAACATTCCTTGCAAAGATTTTTGCACAGACCGCCCTGCCTAGCAGCTCTGGGAGGTTAGGTCATCAACTTTATATCTAGATATCCAAAGGAGTCATGCTAGATTGTAGAGACCCTCAGTCCTTGGGGCAGGGCGTCTTCAGTGAGCTGCATGCCTAGGGATTCTTGAGTTCTGCTTCTCCCATGATCAGCGGCAAGTTCTAGTAGCTTTGCCTTGGAATCTCTTGATGCCTCCGTTTTTCTTTAAACTGTCAGGTATTTTGGTCTCACCGGTGCAGAGTGAGAAGTCATCTTACACAAAACTTTTAAATTCATGAGCTGCAGTGCTGAAGAATGGAATCCAAGAAAAACAAAGTTTAATTTCTGAAACCAGTATTAATGAGCTTTCCCACGTTAGTTGAAACAGCAAGTAAAAGCATAATGAGCTCGTCCAGTGAACTGGATTCCAGGAGATAAGCATTAACTCGAATCGCCAGCACCCTAGTGGAGTGCAGTTCTAATCCCAGATGTGAAACAGTGTCTTGCAGAAGAGATTTTAGCCTTTAAAAGAGGTTATGACGGAGGTCCAATCTTACATCAGGCAGTGAAGTACCCACTGGAATAAAAGCATTAGCTTCCAGTGAGGCATTCTTGTTTGGCTTTGGTCAGAGGAGACTGGGAATGTCTAGGGACTGTTAACACTGTCTTTTTGTTTCCACTGGTCTTTCCACTAGCATGGTTTAATGCAGCGTTTTCCCAGAGTGTGGACCATAAACTCTGGAATTCCCTAGGCTGCTTGCTAAAATGCAGATTTCTGGGCCCTGTCCTATACCTGTGGAATCAGCATCTGGGAGAAGGCAGAATCTGCATTTTGAACAAGTTCTTTAGACTCGAGAAACACATGCATTGGGCATTAGGAGCTTGGATTCTGTTACTAAACTGTGATGTAATTGGCAAGCTACTCTACTCTTTGGGGCTACAGGGCTCCTACTGGGAAAACAGGAATTAAATACCATAAAGGCTCATTTTGGCTTGTAGCAGTATGATTCTCTCTTCTTCATGCCTCGATAGGTCTCTCTGGTGCCTAAAGAAGTAGTTTGTTGTGTCATAACCTTTGGGCATGGTCTTTCCACTAGCATGGTTTAATGCAGCGTTTTCCCAGAGGGTGTCCCCAAGGACACATGCACAGCTGTACCTGGTTGTGGTTAAAACCGGGAGCGAAAAAGCATGAATTGTGCAAGTTTGCTATTCGTGGACTCAGTCCTTCAAATATTAGGCTGTCTACAACAGCTCTTAAGACTTTCAGGCCGTACATTTCCCATACTTGTCCCTATCCCAGTGTCCACCCAATGAAAGCAAAAACCAAAAAAGAATTATGATATTTCTGTGTATGTAAGCACACCCGTGTCTGTGGGATGGGTGGGGGACAGTAAGGGCGGGGTGTGGGATCACTGGCCTGGCTTCATTCACTTGATCCTGTTCCAAGTGAGGTGGGAGTCCTTGCCCCAAGACTTGATGTAAAGGATTAAAAGGTTTCTTTTATATCATTAGAACTGTGATCTATTATTATATCTACCTATAGAGCACTCTAAATTTTTTCTCTCTCACAAGTGTCTTGGAAATAGCACAACACTTCTTCTTCGATTTTCCTTTTGTTTAAAGGAAAATGTAAATGTACCCAAGTGGTGGGCACTTTGGGCACCTCTTCATTTGCAGGGGGCCTCACATGAGCAGTAGTTCAGACATTTCTGCACCTCACAGGCATTGAGGCCCCCTCCTGCTCCGTGTCCTGGTCTTGACGATATTGCTGCAGCTCCCTGAAGCCAAGTAGGCAAGGATGTTGAGGGAGGGCTTGAGAAGGGGACCGCACTTCCCTTGCAGACCTCTCCCACCGATGCAGATGGCAGTTTGGCAGTTTTGTGCTCCTGAAGTGCCCACGTAAACTCATGGAGGCTGCAGACCCTGCTTTGAAAAGCCACGTTTTTCATGATTCTGTGGAGGAAACCGGACAAACCACAGGCTCCGTGAGCAGGAAGCGAGCTCTGAGACTGGCTGGTCAGATATCTGCCCCTCTTGGCCACATTGTTCTCCACACAGAGCCCCGCCTCCTGCCCTCCTTGGTCTTTGTCCACACCTTCCCGATGTTTCCAAGTGCTGCTTGGACAGGGCTCATAAAGGTCGAGTGTTCTTTCCTGTGGCTCATTCCCCACAGATGGTCACTCTCTCCCCAAAACTCTGGAGACAGAAAAACCCTCTGCTTGGCTTTCGGGTCTGAAGAAATTCGTTAAGACATGCGGCCTTTCCTATTTTGTGAACACTGGCTTCACTCCCTGGATTGGGCCTGACATCCACACGCTTGCCTAGTTCTGTAGGTGTGTGCATTCTGGGTTTCAGGGATTCGGCAGGGAGGCACTGTCCCTGACCAGAGGAGCCTGGGGAGATGGGCAGGCCCTCTGTCCTCTGACCATAGCCCCCTAGTTGAGGGGTGATCTTGGGAATGCCAGGAGAGGCTGGGCTGAGAAAGAAGATGGACCAAGTACTCATGAAAGTATTCTTAGGCGGTTGACTGGATTAATCCAAAGGGATTGATAAAGTTTCTCAGCTTTAACTTCTAGTAAGGTAAATATGGATAGGTATAACTCACATGAATAAAAGCTCCCTGGGAGCCTCAATTGTACTTAGAATTGGAGATAAAATATCCAAGTTAAACACTGTTAAAAGAGACATGGCAAGGTGTTTAACATCCCCCATAACCACAGGTATGCAGGTTAAAACAATAAGATATCAGGTTGTACCTAAAAGACCAACAAAGATTTAAAAGAATAATTGTAGTCACAGTGAGGGTTTGGAGAAATAAACCCTTTGGTGCACTGTGGGTGGGGTATAAAACGGTACCCTTTTTTTGGTTTGGCAATACCTATGACATTGAATATATTCCTTCTTTTCGACCTGTCATTGCATTTTTTGAAATCCTGAAATAGCTTTTTATTAACTAGCAAGCAGAACTGCGTTATAATTTTTAAATATTTTTCTCGTTGCGTTGTCTTGCTTCGAGTTGGAGGCCCAGGACTGGGGAGGATCGGAAGCGTGCCTTGGGCCTCCTTCTCCCCTTCTGCTCCTTGTCCCTG